CGAGCTCATTCTGCTCAAGAGGACGTGCGCGTGATTTAGAATTACCATTATCTTTTGACCGTTATCTTTCTTCTAGGCTTCACTTCAGCCATTAACGGTAACCCAGCCAGTCCAAGGTAATCTGCTCGATTCAATATATTGTTTTAATTTATAACCAACCACCTGTTATCTTATCTAGTAAGGCATTACAATCTGATGTAAATGTAACTTAGCCTTATATTTTTTTTCTTTTTTTTTTCTCAGCATTATTTACAATGTAACGATCTACCGTTCTAACTGTTAACGTTAGCTATAGCTAGCATTGTAGCCTTCTAGTTTGGATTAAACAATCGAAATCAGCTGTAGATATTGTTTGGCAGCACACTAACAATGTCTGCAAACAGAATTTATTCAGACAGAACACTTAAACGTCAGGCAAAGCGGAGGGCTTACAATATCCTTAGTGAGGTTTGCGTCAATGCTGAATCTGACGCAGCCGACATAAACATATGCCTGGAAAAAAACGCCCCTGCTGATGATGTGTGGTCAGATGCTGCTTCTGATTGGCCCATGTCCTATGAATCAGACGAGTTAGAGACTGAGTTTAATGTTGACGACAACGAGACTGATGAATTTTGGTCAGATGCTCTGACAGAAACTGACACAAGTGATGATGAATTTGTTGAGTCTGCAGAGTGTCTTGCTGAGGAGATCAGAGGTTGGGCAATAGACAGCCAAATACCACAATGCCATCTAAATGGGCTGTTGGGCATCCTGAGGAAATATCATCCATATCTCCCAAAGGATTCCCGCACTCTTTTAGGGACTCAAACTAATTATGAGGTCCAGGAGATTGCTGGTGGCACCATGCATTATTTTGGAGTCGAGAAAGGCATTAGGGATGTGTTAAACCAGATAGACCCTCTCCCAAAGGCCATTCATTTACAAGTGAATATTGATGGACTGCCTTTGTTTAAAAGCAGTAATAAGCAGTTCTGGCCCATTCTAGGCTTGGTAGAGGAAGACAAAACAAAGCAACCATTCGTCATCGCTTTATATCTTGGATCTAAAAAGCCAGAGAATGTCAATCTGTTCCTAGAATAATTTGTGAATGAATATGGAAAGCTTAAACTAGAGGGTGTGGATGTAATTGGCAAATGTGTAGAAATTAAAATTTCTAATTTTGTTTGCGATGCTAGTGCGAGGGCTTTCGTAAAAAACATTAAAGCCCACAATGCATATCACGGCTGTGAAAAATGCACACAGGAGGGAAGATGGGTGGAAAATCGCATGACTTTTCCTGAAGTAGATTCACCTTTACGGACAGATACGTCTTTTATTAATAAAGACGATGAGTTTCACCATAAAGGGACCAGTGTGTTGACAAAGGTTGGAATTGGTATGGTCTCCCAATTTCCATTAGATGTTATGCATCTGGTTTTTCTTGGGGTTGTGAGAAAGTTGATAGGGTTTTGGATGAGGGGACCACTTCCAACTCGTTTAGGTGCTCATCAGATAGGCCTAATTTCTGCAGCGCTTATGTCCTTTGCCTTGAGACTCCCCAGAGAGTTTGTACGAAAAGGGAGATCCCTTGTTGAGGTAGATAGGTGGAAAGCAACAGAGTTCAGAACTTTTCTTCTGTACACTGGTCCAGTTGCACTGAAAGACCATCTGCCGAATGTTCTATACCACAATTTTATGCTTCTGCATGTAGCCATTCGAATATTATGCTGCCCCTCACTCTGTCTCCAGTACTGTGATTTTGCTGAAAAGTTACTAATCACATTTGTCGAGCATTTTCAATCTGTCTATGGTAATTACGTTGTGTATAACATACACGGGCTGACACATCTTGCCAATGATGTAAGGCAGTTTGGTGTGCTGCATAATTTCTCAGCTTTTCCATTTGAGAACTTCCTCTACACATTAAAAAAAATGATTAGGACCCCTACCCAGCCCCTTCAACAGATCATCAGGAGATTGTCAGAAAAAGCAAGTGTCAGAACTAAAATAAGGGTGTGCAAGGATGGTTTTTACCAGGAACATAAGAACGGGCCTGTTCCATATGATGTGACATCTCAGCAGTTCACACAGTATAAGAAATATGTAAATGGTGGAACTTTAATTAGTTTATCAGAGGGAGACAATTATATCCAGTCCAATGGAGATATTTATATAGTTAAAAACATTTTAAAAGACAAGGAAGCATCACATCTAGTCTGTCTTAAATTCCAAAACAAGTCATCATTTTTCACCTATCCCATTGATTCATCAAGTCTTGACATAACCTTTGTGAAACAACCCGGGCAGTCATTGACTATTGTTCCTACACAGACTGTTTCAAAAGTCCTTCTTTTACAGTATAAGGATGGGTTTGTGGCATATCCTTTCCTGCATACTGCTTGATTCCCCCATTAGCCCCCCCCCCCCCCCCCCCCATTATGTACAGACCTTATCAATCATAAGAAATAGTAATAATAAGACTAGGAATTATTTTTATTAATCATATTTCCACTGGGTAATTAATAGAGCTACAATAAATGTATAAAGTTGTAACACTATATATATATATATATATATATATATTTTTTTTTTTTTTTTTTTTTTATAGATGTATTCAATAGTTGTTTTTACTGAAAAGAATGAGACAGAGGTAATACCAAGTGACTGGCTGAGCGTCGACAAAAAAAATTCCTTTTGGCCTCCATATAACAGTACAAAGTGTAGAAAAGCGGTTGAAAAAAATGAAACTCCTGATGAAGAATGGGACGAATATATAACTGAATGGGTAGCTGAGTATGGTAAGTCTTTGAGGAATTAAATATGAATTATTATTGAGAAATATAGAGAAATAACTATTCAAAAATTAAAAGATGCTCCTTGTGAGTTATGCCAAGCAGTTCTTTTCAAATGTTCAGATAATAGGCTTAGTGGTGTTATTTGTTTCTATAGATTCCTATGAAAAAGCCAGAAGAAAGCTGGTGAAGTTTTGTAAAGGCAACAGTTTGGAGTCTACAGATGAGGACAGTGTACGGAAAAGAGTGTATGTTTCCTCTGTTCTTCTCCTTTTATAGCCTACTGCTTATATTTGCACTGAGCTTTTACAAAAATTGATTACACTTAATGTGTCCAACAGACCATCATCAAAATATGCAAATGGATTTCCATCTGATACCGCCTCAGGAAGACCTCCAGTGCAGGCCTCAACAAGCGGGCACCACACAGGTACAGACAAAAACAGACAGTGGTCATTGCATCATTTCCCAACATATCTGGTCACCACAGATTCCTTAAATCCAAGACTTGACAATATGGTCCCCTTAGAATTAATTAAAGTAATTTCCTTTGTCTGAGCCACAAGAGAGTGTTTAATGTAAGGTAAAAAAAAAATTAACCTTAATTATAATTAACCTTAATTAACCCTAAATTTAGCCAAATGAATGTATAAACTGTGTGTTGGAAATTACAGTACAAGGTTATATCTCACATTTCTGTCAAAATTAAGTTGTAGTAAACTATATTTAATTATGTTGAATAATATATGTTGAATTATAATAATATGTTGAAAGGAATTTTTGAACAGTGGTCACTTTCCTGTTGTATAAGATCGCAGCGAAGCTCTGGATGGAAGTAAATGTTGTGATGTCTGACAATGTATTGTACATTATACTGATTCTGTTTCTCACTGTTCCATATGCAGAGACAATGGAAAGACCAAAAAAAAAAGATTCTGCAGTAATGGAGCCAAAAGCCTGACTTTGCCAGCCATACCACCATTTGCACCATCAGCACCATCAGCACCTGCTGTGACAGTACCTGAACCAAGACAAGATGGTAAGTAGAATTAACTCCTTACATAGCTTTTAGTAATTACCTTTAGTCTCTAACTTGGATTAGACACTGTTCAAGGAACAAAATAAAATATATGTAACCAAAAAGGAGAATAAAACCTGAGTTGTACTATTTTCAAATGATAAACTTTTTAAGCCTTGCTTTTGACAATTAGCATTAATATCAATGTGCTTTGATTTACAACCATTTTTTTTAATTGTGACATTAAGTGAAATGCAACATAAAAACAAAATTCCAAATCTTGTAAAATCATATTTTGCTTTAAAAGGACATTGACAACACATTAAATGTTGAAAATGTCAAATTTTACTATTTTATGGGAAATGGGAGCAAATTTTAAATTTATGGCGTCTCAAAAAAGCTGGGATGGATTTAACAAAAGGCTGTTAAAGTTATGATAAAGACAACAAAAGAAGAGGTGCAGTTTCTCTCTTTATACGTTCAATTCTGTGTAGTTATAATGTTGCATCGTATGTTTGTCTGATTCAGAAAGAGAACTCCGGCTCTACCAGATGCTGGAAGAGATAAAGGGTCAGGTCAGGCAGAATACGCTCCTCCTTCAGGCGATTTTGCGAAGAGAGAATGCTGCTGAAGTTGTGAATGAGGAGTTTCAGTTTCCATTAAGGAGCATGACCGGCATAAAAGATTTGGAGGATAGGCTGTCAAACAGAGACACACAACGTTCTCTAGTAAATTCTAAAGTTATTTTTCTTCACTTAAACGAATACTAACATATTATTAATATCTAACTATATTATATTATATGTAGAGATCTAGACCTGGTTTACTGGTGCTTAACACATGTTTTTTTTTTTTTCAAAGACAAGATATCTTACCAGCTTGGGTGGAACATCTGCTAAAGACATTGTCCACAGAATGATGAGGGAAATAATGACCAATGAGTTGGCCAACAATTTTAATTGGCAAGGGAGAGGACAGAAGAGCCCATTTTCTACACTTTTGCTAGCAAAAGTTGTCATAGGTGATGTGTTTAAAAAAAAAAAAAATTCAAAACTAAGACATAACTTGTCTTGAAATTGCAAAAGAGAAAACAACCCATTACAGTTTCACATAATGTGTCATTGAATGAAATGCAATGCAAGTAAAAAAAAAAATCTTTAATGTCATGCTGACAGATGCAGCCAAAAGACAAGGGGCAAAAGTGGTGAAAGCAGAGGAAAAAATAAAAACCTGGCTGAAGTATAGTGGAGACCGAAATGGAGGAAGAAAAAAAAGAGCAATAGAAAAAGGTACACAAGGCATTTTTAAGGCTGATCCAAAATGTTATTAATTATATATATATATATATATATATATATATATATATATATATATGTTCATATATACATTTTAAGTAATTTACATTTTGATAATTACTATATTTTTTCTTTAACACAGAAAAGCAGATGCCTCCCCCTCAATTAGATTCCAGCAGCAGTGAAAGTGAATGTAAGTGTCTTCCAATAATTGTTTTTTTTTTCTTCCTCTGTCTAACCCCACCACTAAACAGAGGTATTTCATCTTTACTAGGCGTACACTATAGATGTATAATAAATTTGCTACCCCAACATGATGAAAATCTCTTGCTGGCGAGAAAATAAATCCTACTTTCCCCCCCAAAAAATATACACTCAAAAATAAAACGACACATATCTTAAATGCTCTAAAAAGTTGTTTATGTTTGTTTTTATTTAACAGGAGTATGCTGCTTCTCCTCCTCCGCTCCATCTTCATCGTCAGAGCAACTCAGTGTTTTTTGTTTTTGTTTGTTTGTTTGTTTTTTGCCTCCTTCTGCATTTTCTTTGCCACTTTTTTTGTCAATTTTTGGTTCCTTGTTGATTGGCTTTATTTTAATTTTGTTTGCATTTTTTTTACATAAATAAGCATTAATTAATAAATTAAACTTGTCACCAATAAAAAGGGTCATTTTATAACCAATTAAGTTTGTCTGTTGTGCCGTCTCTTAATGCAATTCAACAATGAACAGGCCATTTCACAATCTTAAAATTTGAGTGTAAAGTAGCCTAGTTAAACCTATTTATTTATAAGTTTGCGAAGGTCTGCTGACTGCTGAACCAACGTTGGCCCAATCTTGTTATAATGGTTTTTAGGTTGGCTGAAGGTCTGCTGAATGTTCAATGACATGGTTGGCCCAACGTTGGCCCAATGTTGTTTTCGTGTTTTTTTGGTTGGCAGAAGGTCTGCTGGCCATCCAATGAGATGGTTGGCCCAACGTTGGCCCAACGGACAAAATTACGTTGGGCCAACGTCAGCACCCAACGTTGGCCCAACACAACAACAGACGTTGGGCCAACGTCTGTTTGCTACCTGGGTATCTTCCACAAAGGCCAGCCATCTTAAATAATAATTTCCAAATTGCAGACAGGTGTAGATCCTTATCTGGCAACCTATAAAAGAAAAGAAAAGACAGCAGAACAAATCCAAAACAAACCGTAACACCCGTTTTTCAGGTGTTTTTCAAAAACGAGATTTAAGTAAGAAGGAGAAAACAATGATGTTTGAGACTCAATGCATGTCATGTCCATGTACTGAACTCTTGTTATGTAACTATGCCAACATAAATTCAATTTCACATTATAGGGCACCTTTAAGGTTATTGTTGCCAAGAAAAGAGATTGTTTGTTAGTTTTTTGAATCATGTTTTTTGTATTTTAGGTGAATGTTACAAGTAAAGTGATCCAGTTGACTGAGGATACACAGTCAATGACTCGCAGCAATCAAAGATTGCTAAGACGACCCTATGAAGTGGCAGATAAAACCAGTGGATTATTGTTGACTGTCTGAGGAGGAGATATCCTTGTGATCGGGAAGTGGTACACAATTAAGAATGTCTCAATTCGTCAATTTGATGGTTGCACTTGTTTGTCAACTACCAAGCAGTCTGTTCTGACAATTGTGCCTGATTTAACAAGTGATGTTGCACAAGTAATTGACCCATTTAACCTGTTTACCTTCAGTCCGTGCGTCGGCACACTGAAGTGTTTAATTTTTATTTATTTAGTTACTATCAGATTTAATGTTATACCTATGAGTGATACCTCATTGTCATCACCCACTGCACTGGGGACAAAGAAATGTTGGCACAATCCTAAATGCTCTTCCAGGATGTCCACAAAATTGTACACTTGAAGACCTGTTCTGAGTTGCTTCAGCAAAGGGATCAGACGCAGGGTTACACTAAAGATATTTAGATATATCGATCAGTTCGATCTGATAATCGGTTCAATCGGACTCAGTGGCCGATTCATGTTCACCGTAACTGATAACCAGGCTGGCAGCTCGCTCTGGCACATGCATTTTTTTACGGCTATAAGCACTGGGTTGATTCATGTTTGCTAACCCGTTCATGTTTGTATGATCTGGACCACTTCTGGAAATGACTCGGCTGGTTAAATCAAGGATGGTTTTAATGTAGCAATAAATAACATAAAAATATTTCAAAGTCTTTCTTTCTTTAATATTAATAACCATAACAAAAATATTTAGTTGTCATGATCATTACGTTTATGTATTTTAAACATGCATCCCGCTGACACTCGCACATGGATAACAGAAACAAAATGCCAGCCAAAATTTTTTCTACCGGCCAACATAATGTTTAAGATAGACTATCCTGTATTTACTTGGGTTAATGGGATGAAATGGGTAGCCTGCGTGTACAACAGCAACATTGAGTCTGCAATTCATTTCATTGGCTATTTCAAATATACCAGACAGTGACGGCTGTTTAAACTCTGGGTGCTCGGCTCAGACCCGTTTACCGGTGTGAAGCCGAGTTCAACGTTTACTGCAGCATGCTCAGCTCATCACTGGAGTGACATGTGCACAACTTTGGGCGAAATAAGACTCAACGCCGGACTTGGAATAATCCCTTTTCGATCCTGCGCCATTACGGTGAACTTGAGGTAAGTTTTCATTTCAAGCATCAACATTTCACGCCAAGCGTAGTTTCAATCGAGTTCCCTTAACATTAACTCCGAACTTTCGGATGTTGCTGATAAAATGTTATTATCGATCCGTTTAAACTTTGACATGCTTCCCTCCAGATAAAGGAAAAGAAAGAATTCAGAATTAAATTAAAAATTATTAATTACGACAAAAACATCAAATTCTTTATCACGTCTGAGTAAAGTTGCAATTTAGGTAACGTTAACGTTAATATGAAAGGGAGACCATGAAGTTGGAGAACTTTATGGCGCGAACGAAGCTAACATTGACTAACGTTAGCTGGGATGTTAGCTCTTTTTTGCAGCTTGGCAAAGAATTAGTTACTAGGCTAGACGCCATTTTTATTGAATGTAATTTACGTTAATAATATTTCGAGCACAGTCTTTGATCTGTGGAAGAAAATAAAGTCGATCAAAATGTTAGCTGGATTAAGGCCAATTCAGACAGCACAGACAAACAGCACAGACAAACATTGTCCTAGAAAGTATACACATTTTGATCCTGTAAGAAAATGTTTATTATACTTCTGTAAATTTTAACAGAGGAATGATGTGGGACTTGATGTGTGGGTATAATGCTGAAAGCTGGGTCATTGTCTGTTGCTGAGTGAGATGGCTCTTAATATGAAAATGAATTGAGGACTCCGTCCGCCATTTTGTGAACGATGTGACCCAATAGCTTTTCACGACTCGTCGTGTATATATCAATCCGGAAGTCGGCCATTTTGGAGGCACAGAACATAAACAATGCCATTGAACTGAACGGGCTCGCATATTTGGCTGATTATTTCTGCTGAAAAATTGTCGATCTTTGGTCTGTACGGTTGCATCGGGGAAATACCTTTCGAGTTCTATAGACTGCCAAAAGTTAAAGAGAAGAGTGCAAAATACTGATGAAAGAAGGCGTTTGTGGTGAGAGAGGCACAGCATCAGCTCATCAGCCACATCACATGTGTAAGTTAAACGAAGCTTTGACTATGGCTAAAATGCTAACGTATTAACTATGCCTACATTCACACTGCCAAAATATCTTTGTATCCGATTGGAATCTGATCTAAAATGATGCCCACACTATTTATCGCAACTTTTCAGATCCGATTTGTGAGTCCATGCAGCTCTCGGGCAAGACGGCACTGACACTGACACTGATGAAGGGGTTTGCATTTGCAATAGATATGTTTTCTTATTAAATTTTTACAACATGGATAACGTTATGTGCAATGATGGGCAGTAACGCGTTACTGTAATCCAATTACTTTTTTCTAGTAACGAGTAAAGTAAGGGATTACAATTGAAAAAACAGTAATTAGATTACCGTTACTTCCCCGTAAATAGCCTGCGTTACTGCGTTAGTTAACCGTGATTTTGTTTAGTCAGACCGTCTCGTGACATGAGTCGTGCGTGAATAAAAATGATGGATGAGCGCCACGACATCAGTGAGAGACGACTGCCAACTCTCACACACGCTCACACGACACACATGTAATAAGTAGAACGCGGAAGCAGTTGTGCAAGTAGTCCATTGTTTACACATTTAGCTTACCATGTCTGTCATTCTTTGATCCCTGCCGACGGTAAAACTTGTCCCAGGCTTTGACCATAGCTTCAGGATAACGTCCACGGACACAATGTACACTAAAAAGTAAATGAATCGTTTATCCAAGGTAAAATTATAGAAAAACTATTTCTTTCTAAACAAAATGTCAATCTTATGCGTGTATTCTTAGAAATATAACATGCAAACTTCCAATTACCTTATTTTACACTTATATAAGCTATAAAAAATCAAATAAAAATAAAAAGAGTAGAAGCATACTTGTTGAGCCCAATGAAACCATCGGTCTTGTTGGTCTCCTTTAGGTTAAGCCTGCTCAGCTCTCTGTAGGAACATTGAAGATGTGTTGAATATTTACACACCACTCATTCAAATGCATAACATATTTGTTGAGATATGCCAGAGATCCTACTTAGAAATTATGATTTCATGGAGGATTTCATTCACAAAATGTTTTCTGGTGTACACCGTTGACTTGCTGACTTCCTTCTACTGGGATGATCTATGGAAATTACACTTAAACATCACTTCAGTCATTTTTGTATGTTTAAGAAATAATTCTGCTTAAAAATCAGTGACTAAACATCTATTTACATAAATAGATATAATATTTAAAATACATTTTGAACTTATGTATGTGTTAGGTGCATTAAGTCACCCTGTGCCCTGTAAGACAGTAAATGGTATGCTTCTACAATGAAATTGTATATGGATAAATTGAGCACATACTTTGAGAGCGACGGTCTCATTGGAATGGTTTATAGCTGAGAAGACCTCGGCAAATTTCCCTTCACCGATCTTTGTACAGTGCTTTATGCCAGCTGGAGGGATGCATTCACCAAAGGAAAGTGGGCCGCTCTGCTGACATTCTCCAAACACTTTTTCTGCATCGCTGATATCCTCATCATATAAAGTCTGGAACACAAAGGCAGAGTAAAAAAAAAAAAAATGGGAGAAAAAAGAGACATCATGGAATAAAGAGACTTATTAATTTTCTGAGAAAGTAACAAAAACAATCATTAAAATTTATATTGTTGTATAGACCATTTCACAAGATGTAAACAGCACTGGTCCAGAAGCACTTTCTGTTTCAGTTTGTAACTGTTTTCTTTATTTCACATGTAAAGAAAACATCTAAAAGATGTTTGTTTAACTTTTTGATTCAGTTTTAAATGTTCTGTTGGTTGTATTTTATCCCAGCTTTTATGTAGTGTTAAAAAACTGAAACAGGTGCTTCTGGACCAGTGTTGTTTACATCTTGTGAAATGGTCTATATATTGTAGACTGTACATTATTCTATTATACTTCTTTCACTTAAAGGATTAGTTCACTTCAAAATGAAAATTCTGTCATCATTTACTCACCCTCAAGTTGTTTCAAACTTATGAATTTCTTTCTTCTGTTGAAATCAAAAGAAGATATTTTGAAGAACGTCGGTAACCAGACAGTTGATGGACCCCATTGACTTCCATAGGGAAAAAAAAATACAATGGAGGTCAATGGGGCCCATCAACAGGTATCTTAACCGATAGTCAATATGGTTTTAGAACAAACCGTTCTACATCTTTGGCTTTAATAGACCTGGTGGAAGAATTAACAACCAGTATTGATGATAAGAAGTTTGCTATAGGTGTATTTATAGACCTTAAAAAGGCCTTTGATACAATAGATCATCATATTTTGCTTCAAAAATTGGAAATTTATGGAATTAGGGGAATAGGACTAAACTGGATAAAAAGCTATTTGGAACATAGACAACAGTATGTGCAGATGGGGGAGGAAAGGTCGAAGCTTCAAAATACAATATATGGTGTACCACAAGGTTCAATTCTTGGACCAAAATTATTTATATTGTACATAAATGATATTGTTAAAACTTCTGATTTGTTAAAAAATTTTATTTTTGCAGATGATACAAATATATTTTGTGAAGGAGAGAATCTTCAACATTTGTTGGAGACTGTCTCTAAAGAGCTGGCTAAGCTTAAACTGTGGTTTGATCTAAACAAATTATCTCTCAACATAAAGAAAACTAAATTTATGATCTTTGGGAAACGTAGAATTCCCGAAGATTTAACTATTGAAGTACTGTGTGATAATTCCAGATTATAAAGAGTCTATGAAAACTCGTTTTTAGGAGTAATAATTGATCAGAAACTATGCTGGAAATATATATTAGTTCTAAATTGGCAAGGATAAATGGTATACTTTGTAAAGTGAGACATATATTGAATCGAGATACAATGTATACTTTATACTGCACGCTTTTTCTTCCTTATTTGCACTACTGTACAGAAGTGTGGGGCAATACTTATAAAACCACCCTTAAAGATGAACTGAACTGAAAAAAATCGACGATGAAAACGTGTTGTTTCCCAGCAGGCACCGGACGTCAGTTCAACATCATTTTGACGTTGGACTCCAACGTTGGACAGACGTTTGATTTTAGTTGGATATGAAAATCGGGTTGACGGCAAAACCCAACGTTATATTGACATCAACCTACAACGTTAGACAGACGTTTGATTTTAGTTGGATATGGAAATCGTGTTAACGTCAAAACCCAACGTTTGGTTGACATCAACCTACAACGTTAGACAGACGTTTGATTTTAGTTGGATATGAAAATCGGGTTGACGGCAAAACCCAACGTTATATTGACATCAACCTACAACGTTAGACAGATGTTTGATTTTAGTTGGATATGGAAATCGTGTTAACGTCAAAACACAACGTTTGGTTGACATCAACCTACAACGTTAGACAGACGTTTGATTTTAGTTGGATATGAAAATCGGGTTGACGGCAAAACCCAACGTTATATTGACATCAACCTACAACGTTAGACAGACGTTTGATTTTAGTTGGATATGGAAATCGTGTTAACGTCAAAACCCAACGTTTGGTTGACATCAACCTACAACGTTAGACAGACGTTTGATTTTAGTTGGATATGAAAATCGGGTTGACGGCAAAACCCAACGTTATATTGACATCAACCTACAACGTTAGACAGACGTTTGATTTTAGTTGGATATGGAAATCGTGTTAACGTCAAAACACAACGTTTGGTTGACATCAACCTACAACGTTAGACAGACGTTTGATTTTAGTTGGATATGAAAATCGGGTTGACGGCAAAACCCAACGTTATATTGACATCAACCTACAACGTTAGACATACGTTTGATTTTAGTTGGATATGGAAATCGTGTTAACGTCAAAACCCAACGTTTGGTTGACATCAACCTACAACGTTAGACAGACGTTTGATTTTAGTTGGATATGAAAATCGGGTTGACGGCAAAACCCAACGTTATATTGACATCAACCTACAACGTTATATGAACGTTGGATTGTTGTTGGAAATGAAAATCGTGTTAACGTCAAAACCCAACGTTTGGTTGACATCAACCTGCAACGTTAGACGGACGTTTGATTTTAGTTGTATATGAAAATCGGGTTGACGGCAAAACCCAACGTTATATTGACATCAACCTACAACATTATATGGATGTTGGATTGTTGTTGGGAATGAAAATCGTGTTAACGGCAAAACCCAACGTTATATTGACATCAAACTACAATGTTATATGGACGTTGGATTGTTGTTGGGAATGAAAATCATGTTAACGCCAAAACCCAACGTTTGGTTGACATCAACCTACAACGTTAGACAGACGTTGGATTGTTGTTGGAAATGAAATTCGTGTTAACGCCAAAACCCAACGTTAGATTGACATCAACCCCCAACGTTAGATGGATGTTGGATTGTTGTTGGAAATTAAAGTCGTATTGACATCAACTTTCAACGTTGAATTGACATCAACCTACAACGTTAGACAGATGTTAGATTTTAGTTGGAAATGAAAATCGTGTTAACGTCAAAACTTTACGTTTGATTGATAAACTACAACGTTAGATTGACGTTTGATTGTTGTTGGAAATGAAAAATGTGTTAACGTCAAAACCCAACATTAGATTGACATCAACCTCCAATGTTAGATGGACGTTGTATTTTAGTTGGAAATGAAAATTGTAGAGGTCAAAACCCAATGTTGGATTGACATCATCTTCCAAAGTTGGACAGATGTTAGATTTTAGTTGGGACTAAAAATCGTGTTGAAGTCAAACCCAACGTTGGATTGACATCAACCTCAAACATAGAACACATAGGATAGTCGGAAATGAAAATCGTGTTAACGTCAAATTCCAGCAAATAAATAAATAAATAATAATAATACATTCATTCATCAACAATACATTCATACTCAATAAGACATTCAATGAGTTAAGAAAATAACTTTATTGTAAAACTTGTGGTTTTTAAAGAATTTCCTTCTGCTCCTTGAAATGTATAGTATTTAATGCTAACATGCAGGCATGTTTGAAAAATGAAAGACAAACTAAATGAACAAAACTCAAATAACTGGCAGGCATGTTTGAACAATTAAAGATAAACTAAATGAACAAAACTCAAATAACTTGCAGGCATATTTGAAAAATGAAAGATAAACTAAATGAACAAAACTCAAATAAGTGTCTGGAACTCAGACCCCACTTGTAAAGTAAAAAAAAAAAAAATTAAACTTCAGAAACTTTTTTTCTGCCACCTCCTCCCACCCTGTCTGGGGCATATTTTAAACAGAAGGCGACAGCCGCTGCAATGTTTGCCTCCGTTTCACCAGTCGTCCTCTGGACACTCTCTGTAAGGAATATTTTAAACTGTAAATCTTTGGGGCAAATAGAATATAGTGAGCAGTAATAAACATTAAAATGCAGACATTCTCAAGGGCTATGCATTTTTTGCATGTACATGTCTTAAAACCATTTCTATGGTGTTCTTAAACTGCAAGCTGCAGCTTGCTACATATTGGCAGAAAAAAAAAACTGAATGCCAGCAAGTTTCTTTGTTTTTTTAAAAAAAAATAAATAAAATAAAAGACATCTTTCCAGCATGTTTACAGTAAAAAATAATTTAATACAAAGAAAATCTGACATTTCTTGCAGGTAGCGGCCTGGTTGTTAATAGATGGCAAATGCGGATACTGATTTTCACTAAACCCTTAAAATAGACACTACACAACACTGAGGATATATGCTTTTTACCTGTAACAACAGTGAAGAGCCGGAGCTTAGTGAAGGCAAGCTTGCCCTTCCCGCCCTTCATATTAAAGTTGGACATAACTTCATTTGTCATCAACCTGTGGATACAAAAGAAAAATTATTTAAATTTGCAAATAGTTGAACTTTTAAATTCTTTGTCAAAAACAAATGCGTTAACTAAAACATGTAGCATATTATAAGCAGACCTCTTAGAAAAAATACATACTATGGTAGTCAATGGGGATTGAGATCGGTTTGATTAAAACATTCTTCCAAATATCTTCCTTTGTGTACAGCAGAACAAATTAACACAGAGGTTTGGAACAACTTGAGGGTGAGTAAACGATGATAGAATTTTTCTTTTTGGGTTAACTATCCTTTTAAATTGATGTCTAACTCGCCACACATGGCTGTTAATGTGAGGAAATCTGGTGCAATGCAAACATAAATTTTGTTCATTTCATCTTTGAAAATTAAACTTTTAATAATTTTAATTATGTACGAAACTCATACCCAATTGTGACTTCTAAACCGGGCTATGAACTGAACACTGTGACTTGCAGATCCATAAAGAAGGCTGCCAGTTGGCCCAGTGGCAACAGTCAAGTCCCCTATACAATATCTATTCTACTCTATTATATCGGTGCTACGAGTAACTGACATCTAATTGAAACTGAGATATAAAACTTACTTCTCCATGACCCTTTTTACATTATCTTTCAGGTGGACTCCTCCCACCTTGGACAAGGT